GGCCATGACAATGATAAAAATCTAAGCTATAAAGCATCTAATATTCCAAAACAGTAATGAATTTGCAGTATAGGCATGTGAGATTATATTGGCATGAATAATGTCTCAAGTGGGTGGACAATTTAACATCAGACTTCAACAGGTAATGTTATGTCTGACAACAGTGCAGCAAAACTGCTACAGTCAAAAGTCCTTAATCTGGACTCGTTGGGACTTCGGCGATTCCGGATTATCGATTTTTCCGGATTATAGATCATCAGTTTAAATCTGGTAAAATGGCATGCAGAAATTATAAAATTAAAAATATGAAACCGTAATTTATAAAATAATGAGCAATTATGATCTAAAGGGTATCAAAATTTACACACACACACACACACAAAAAAAAAAAAAAAAAAAAAAAGCTTAATATTTATTTGTTTACTTTATTAAACATTTCTTTCAATGCGCACAACGCGTAGAGCATACCTTATGCATAGCCGAAATTAGAAAATTGCAACCAGAAAACTATTTGATTTGTATTTGTGATATTTATAATGACGAGGAATTTGATTTAAATCATATCAAAGACAGAGTACATCGAGATTAAATACTACATTTAGTAAGGAATTATAAGCCAAATAAAATAAAATCATCTGCCCTGAAGATAACGATAGTGCTGACAGATCAACTTCCAGTTCATTGCGCGCCACGATGTCCCCCCCCCCCGCGCAGAGTAGTGTGAAATTGATAAACAGATTTCAGAACGGTTAGATAAACAAAGGATATACATTTATCCATTTTTTGTAGCAATTCATTTTTTGTTTGATGGATATCGAAACATACTTTCGTTTTCTAGATCCTTTGGGAGCTCCAGCATCGGAAATTCTATTTGACATAATTGAAAGTTCAAGCTTACTTTTATAAAATTGCTCTTACAGTCTGCAAAAAATAATAAGCTGGATCCAATTCGAAAATTAAGGAACAACACAATCATCAACATTAACTGAAATAGATAATTAGATAATTTTAGCTTATACCGTCCATTATACATTAAATGCGCACGCGAAAATGTATTCTGCGCTTGCGCAGTCGTAAATGTCTTGCGCGCACGTGCAAAACGCCTATGAGCATGCGTCAACGCGGCGCATGCGCAGAATAATTTTATCTTTGAGGTCCGGATTATAGATCATTCCGCATTATGGGTGTCCGAATTAACGACTTTTGACTGTATTACTAAAAATACAATAACAGTAAAACAGAACACTGTCAGAAGCTAAACTTAGTTACCATCCACTCTTTTTTAACTAATATATTATTAATATCACAAGGCGTAAAATAGAAACTTAACTTATATTGCTATAGAAGAATTTCATTTAGAATTTTCAAAGAAAAAAATTTCATTTCTGGCTATGCAAAATGACTGTATATAATGGAATGTAACCAATTGATTAGGGAACTGTTTGAGTTCATGCCATAAGTTTATTGCATGTAGTATTAAAAGTGTAAAAAATAATGACAGTTCTTTTCAAAGTTTTTTGCTTTACTTGATATTATTGTTATATATTAAATATTTCTATTTGTGAAATTTTATTATGCCATCTCACACATGAAATTTTGAACACAAAATCTTAAGATCATCATAACAGAAGTGAAACAGATAAAGAAATGAATGCTCAAAGGCAGAAGTTATATTACATACATGTTTGGGTTAAGACAATATTTATTAACCCCTTCGCGCCGACTGTCACATATACGTGCCAGCAACGAACACACTTACCTACTGGCCGACACGCAGGCATGCCAGAGGATTGTTCCATTCTCTACCGACTGTCACGTATTTGTGTCAGTACTTTGGAATGTTTTTCAAACTATAATTTCTGCCACAAGATGGCACTGTATGTCCATATGGTTTCAGATACATGTACATTAGACCTTCTACTCGAAATGAGAGCACCATGACTCACATACACATGTTTTTGATTATATAAACAAACGGGGAACTAAATGTTCCGAATGGCGTGATTTATGACGTCTCTTTAAATCGCACTTTATTCGCACGTGGTAGTTGTTTACTGTAAGTAGAGAAGTTTTATTTGCTCTAAAGCGTTGGGTATTTCAGTTTGCAGTTCAGTTTTTAGAAAATAATTAGATCTTGTCAGACGTGAATTCTTTGTTTTTACCGTTGCAATGTCGAAGTGTCGAAAATGTTTAACAGAGCACAAAATAGCAGAAATGATGCAAAATATTTCAGATATTGATTCTGAAAGAGGTTTAACTGAAAGTAGTGATTTTGACTCTATGATATACTTCTGATCATAAGAGAATCTGGCGAATCAAATGATGATGAGGACATTTCGGATATCTGCATGCCGAGTACATCGAAAGCAAGTACTTGTTCATGGTCATTCCACAATAGAAAATTTTTTAAAATCCTCCAAAACGGCAAATGAGTTATTACGAGTGCAAGGAATGTAACGTAGGACTGTGTGTAGATCCCTGTTTTTTCAAAGTTTTCATACGAAAAGAGAATTTTAAGTAATATATTTAGTTTTCAGATGTATAATGTTTAAAATTCATAAATGGTGAGTAATTAAATAAAATGTGTAAAATATGCATTTAAACAAGAAATAAGGTAATTAAAGTATATATATAAAAATATCTATAAAGCATAAGCGGTTTATATACTCTATAGAGCATTATTAAACAATGTGTTGATACTTCGGAAATTTCATGGATTTAGGCTTAGTAGCAGAAAAGCCCCCGGCCCTGGAGAGACGCTCGCGTAAGACACTGCCGGCCTCAGCGATAATACCCGGCTCGAAGGGGTTAACTTAAGATTACTTTCTGATTATCTGCACCCCTTCCAAAAGGCCACCAGCTATGCGAAAGGCAATACTAATTTTAAAAATGGCACCACATTAAGATTTCCATAAAGGAATATTTAATCAGTAGAATTAAAAAAGCAAGAAAACATCTACAAAAAATATATATTGAAATCCTTGAGTATTTTTTCCCTCTCCCCATGTGCTTTTTTTGCTTAAAAAAGACAGAAAATTGCATAAATTTGGTATTACACATGCTGCCCACCCCAATGTGCACAGTGATCTATTTTCACTTAAAACCATCACAGAATTAAACGAATGTGGAATCGATACATAAATTTTTGGGCCTAAAATTCCATCATTTTCCATGTCCAACATCATGGAATGTGAATTTTTCTAATCTTTACTGTTCAGCAAAACACCATACTTTGGAAGAAATACGAGGGCCATCCAGGAAGTAGATTACGTTTCCGTCTGTGTCCGCTAGGGGCGGGGCTAGCGCGGCCATCTTGGGGTCAGAGCGTTGCGCAGCTCAGTCTGCATCTAGCCGTGCTAGTGAGAGGTTCGTGCTGTGCTCCGTTCAGATACTGTGATGGTTTGAAATGTCTGCGTTAATTGAAAATCCCGCGAGCTGCGAGGTGCGCTCAGTAATAAGGTTTCTGACTGCAAAAAACTGTAAACCGATAGAAATCTATCAGCAGCTTCGTGAAGTGTATGGGGACAACATTATCACTGAAGGTGGAGTGCGTCAGTGGGTCATAAGATTTCAAAATGGCCGAACCAATGTTCACGACGAAGATCGAAGTGGGAGACCCAGCATAGTGACCGCCGAACTTCTCGAAAAAGTCGATGCTAAAGTCCGTGAAAATCGAAATTTCACAATAAACGGAACTTTCTTTGAGTTTTTCCACAAATTTCGCGAAGTTTGTTGCACGAAATCATCAGCGAAAAGCTTGGTTACCACAAGTTTTGTGCAAGATGGATTCCAAAAATCTTGACAGAGGACCACAAAATCAGCGAATGGCTGCAGCGTTGAACTTTTTGGACGATTACCATAAGGATGGTGACTCTTTACTCGATCGCATCGTTACTGGTGACGAAACATGGGTGAAACATGTGAACTGTGAAACGAAATTGCAATCAATGCAGGGGGGCACACAAGTTCTCCCCCAAAAACCCAAGAAATGCATGCAAACAATGTCGGCAAGGAAGATGATGGCGACTGTTTTTTGGGACAGAAAAGGTGTAATTTTGGTGGACTTCCTGGAAAGAGGCACTACAATAAACTCTCAAAGGTATTGCCAAACTCTCCAAAAACTCAGAAGAGCAATTCAAAACAAGCGCAGAGGAATGTTGAGCTCTAAGATCTTGTTGATTCACGACAACGCCCGGCCCCACACGGCAAATGTCACTCGTAAAGTTCTTGAATCTTTTAAGTGGAGTTGTTTCCTCATCCGCCGTACAGTCCCCGACCTGGCACCGAGCGACTTCCACCTATTCCCAGCAATGAAGAAGTGGCTGGCTATGCAGCGTTTTGATGACGATGCACAGCTGCAAGAAGAGGTAACGAAGTGGTTGAAGGCGCAGGCGGCCGAATTTTTCGACGAAGGAATTTCCAAGCTCGTACATCGCTACGATAAATGCCTTAATTTGTATGGTGACTATGTAGAAAAGTAGTATTTGAGTGTGGCTTTCATCTGTATATAATAAAATTTGTTTCCTATACTTTGTTTATTTTTTTATTCCAAAACGTAATCTACTTTCTGGATAGCCCTCGTACAATGCTTTCTTTCTCATCAGCCAGTGAACTTCAAAAACTTTGATTCCTCCCAAGGTAAAAAAAAAAAATAATAATAATAATAATAATAATAAATAATAAATAAATAAAATAAAATAAAAATACTCAATGTAACAGAAGTAAATACTAATAATGACCATAAAATTTGAATGCAGAACTCATCTGCAGTGCACAGGTGCATATTTGAGTTGCAACAAATATACATTTTGGCAACATCATGGGTTGACAAAGCATACTGCTTCGTGAATACTTTTTAGGCAAGTGCGGATAATCAGAAAGTCCACTTCTAATTAGAAAAATTCTACCTCAATAAAGTCATTTAACTAAAATCCCGTGTTTCATTTTGCCAGTAATGTTTGAAGTCTAGGTAACATGCAAAGAAAGAGAAATGTACTTACTGCTAGCGCATTTCGATTGAAGAGCCTGAATGCAAAAATCAGCAGCTACATTCACATCACTCACTGGAGGTGCTTTCATGAAATCATCTATTACATTGCGACTGTATGACCACTGAGCACTACTCAGAAGATGTGATTTCTTTCGAATTGCATATGTGATGCTGCTGTGAAAATTTGCTTCTTGATCTATAACAAAGAAATAAATTTTAATATGCATAATTACCCAGATATATATTTCAAGGAAAATATTACAGCTAAACATTTAAAAAAATTCAGTATTTCAACTATAAAATAATTAATTGATTCTTTGAGCAACATAACTATTACCTCACAATCATGCCAGAATGCTTGGTGAAAGGCCCATAATTCTTATACTGTTTGATAAAGGTCTTATTTTTGGATGCTGACTATCAGTTTGGACAGAAGGATAAAAGCTTCAAAGCTCGACTATTTACATTAATTACCAATGTAGAAGTCGGAGCTTTCGAGAAAATGCTTGCTAGTGCTTTCAAAATACTTCAAATTAATTTCAGGAAAAACTAGATACAAACAAGGCAAAACCAAGGAGCAGCTGTTACAGAATGAGTTCCCATTAACATTTCCCACATCAAAATCTATCCTTTTTAAATACAACGTAACAGCTGCCTTACTTAAGTTTGTAACATAAAGTCCAATACAGCTAAAAGATTCTGCTGTCATTCAGAGATCTGGAAAAAAAATATTTTCACTAGGGTTTTATAAAATAAGTTTTAATTATTAGGAGACAAATAGAAAGGAAAAATTACAGTTAATTTACGTGCCCTTGGCTACTAGAACTTTAGTGAAGAGTCTAGTGACTATTCGCTGGTCTGCTTACAAATAAGGATCAAATTATATTCTCAGGGACAAAAAGCAAAGTATAAGTTTTGTTAATATGTTATTTAGTAAACTACTAAAATTTAGTGCAAATGAATACTCATTTATATTTGTTATTAATGGATTCCTTTACTGTTATTGGAATTTAAGCTAAAGACAACGATTTCCTCGCATTGTGGGAAGTTTAAACAGGAGTTTGATTTTTAGATTAGTGACATCAGGTTTATCTTACAATGTCAGGTGTCAAAACAATTCTGCAATTTTAAGTTTGGTTAACTAGTTGACTCAAATAGCTCAGAATTATGCAGATGGCATTTAATCTTATGTTATTCAGTGTCTCAAACCATTATCTTCCAAACAGTCAACAATCATTTCGTACAGCTTCTTCTGCCCCCCCCCCCAAAAAAAATTGCTGTAGTCAGTCATCCCACACGATTTCCAGCGTTGCTTTCTTATGATTATTTTTGCTTCCCTAAGACTAAAGTGTCTTCTCAAAGGAAAGCTCTTTTCTAACATGGAACGGATAAAAGGAATGTGCCATCTACTTTTAGAGACGCAGCTCTCCTCCCCAAAACAAATCCCATCTCTATAAGCTTTCTCTTTAAATACTTAATCCATCTGCATTAGGAGAGAAAGCTGCATATTAGTGTATGCTCTACAACATTTGTGTTTCTTTAAATACACTCTGATTATGTAATTGTCATGCATGTGAATATATGTTAAAACTCCGATTAGTTGAAATTCCACAAGTCCAAATTTTTGATAGAATGGTTTTTGAGCTAGAAATTTGAAGGCAAGTCAAAATGAATTTCAAAAAAGTCTAAACTGATACTAAATCAAAGTCATAGTTTCAATATTTGTTTTTTAAGCGGTGTGTTCTTTTTGTTTCGTATTAAAACTTAACTATATTTGGATTGATTCTTCACTTTTTCCCATAAAAATAGAAATTCTACATATGATACACCTATTTTACAATTTCAAACTAAGTATTTAACAAAATGAATTAAGCTTTAAGAATTTAACAGCTTTGGTCATGCCATATTTTAGTAACAATATATGAAACATATAAATTTTTATTTTACTTTATTATTTTTATTTCTAACAAAGAATATTTTAAACAGCTAGTTATTCCTCATATTATTACAGATAATTTTAAAAATATGGCTCTTTAATAGAGAAATTATTAATGTTAATTTATCTTCAATACAGAAATTATTGATGTTAAAAAGTGTCAGTATTATAGGATTTAGGTTATTTACACACGATTTTATTAGATCACTATACGGATTAGATCAAATGCTGGATTTTACTGGCAAAGAAGTTTAGGAGATGGCTCTATCATTTGGCAAACAGGTTACTCAACAATTTGGTCAATGAGATTTACTTCACGTCAACATTTAAAACAAATATTTCTGAAAGAACGAAATTAGAAGAAAGAACAATCGTTTGTAGAAAATCACTTCAAAGAAGTTACATGTTCTAGGCAAAATATCTGAATGTTCAAACTATAATTTGTAAAGATTTTCACTCGGTGTTGTGTGTCAAATACTCCATCAAATGGGCCTATGTTAATGGAAAAGACATGAGAAATAACATTGCAGGTGAATATGAAAAACAACTATTTTTTCACTTAAAGGCTATATAAATTTAATTTACATCACAGAATATTGCATCGTATCATAAATGGAGAATCCGAAGATGCCTCAATGAAATTTGGTGACGATTCAAGAATTTATACAAAGAAGTTGATGGATAACAGCTAAAAACATTTCAATATTGATAAAACTAGTCTTTTCTTTCATCGCTTGTCTTCAAAACAAGGAGCCTCTGAAGACCATCCTAGTCAAAATCACTTTTATGCAGAGCAAATATTGATGAAATGGAGGATACCTCTATCCATAAGAATATTACAAAAATCAAGATGCTTCAGAAGACTGCAGAACAAATAAAAACCTGTAGATGATTGAGGATATAATTGCAGATTGCCTCAAGAAAACCAAAGGTATTAAAAAAAAGTAATTTTTGCACAAAATTTAGTTTACATTATACTATTAAATTCTTGCAATTTTAAAAAATAAATATTTACGCATACTCTGAAATATGGATAATATTTTAACAATCTTAAAGTAAGATGATAAAATGTAATGATATGTTAATCAATGCCATACTTGTAAAACTGCATAAAGAACTGGAAAATTGTGCAAATATCATACGCAACTCTTCCTAAACTACAATCTCAATTATACAGCTTTCTCACTTATATATCCTTTCTGAAAGATCCATTGAAAGGTATGGTAACTGCATTTCATTATATTTCCTCTTTTAATACATGCAGTTTTCAAATGCATTACGTTGTACACCTGGCCACAAAGTATTTTTTAGAAAGAAATCCAGTTCAAATAAATAAAACAAAATTCCGGAAGCATTTATATTGATAAATATACAGTAAGACCCCGCTTAACGCGGGGGACACGTTCCATCGAAGTAGAGCGTAATGCGAAACAGCGCTAAGCGAGGCTATCTTAACATGTAAATAATGGGGTTAGGGGAAGACGGATAAAAAATGGTTAGGCATTAAATTTAATAATGTTTTTTTAATAAAAAAAAAATCAAACATTTATTTCTTACAAAAAATAAAAACGATATAAACGCATATACTTTTAAAAACAAATAAAATTCTCAGTCAGATCATTCAGTCCATTCTGGGTTTCCAATTTTCTGCCTGTTTGTTAAGAAGGCATTATGATAGATTGGCTTAATGGCATATTGCGTTCAATTTCGTCGTCAATCCATATAGACAGTCGTTTTTCCATTTCCTCTATAATGTTATTTCTAGAACGGGTAATTCTAGTTGCAGAGCTTGACGTAGTTGCAGTTGCCGATGACAGTATTTTTTCTTTATTCTTAAGAATTGTCCTTATTGTTGAAGTTGCCAAAATCAATGCAGCACTAATTTGAGATTGACGTTCACCAGAATCTAATCTTCTAATCACTTGCATTTGAGTTTCCAGTGAAATGCTTTTTCTGGTTGCTTTCTTTTCTTGTTTTTTATTATCACCCATGATAAAAACTAAAGATCATAATATTTGTCACTGTATTAATCGTTATAGTATTATACAAATTTAAACTTACAATAATGTCAACAAATGTTTCAAATGATAAAAATGTGTCCACCAAGCAAGAAACACAACTACACTGTTTCGGATATGTTATTTGGAAACCTAGCGCTGAGCACAATTTCGGAGAATCCCCGGGTTGAAATAAAAGAGCGCTAAACGGGGTCTTACTGTACTTAAAAGTATACAGTTTGAATGAATGTATTTGAAGAAATATAATTCAATCAAGCAACTCAAATAATTTACACATAAAAAAATAATAATAATAAAAAAAAAAAAACCCTGCAGGTCATTTCAGAAAAGGTCCAATCTTACATTAAAATAGGTGTGTTAAAACAGTGCTTTATATAAATCTAAATAAAAAAAAAAAAAACTAAGTTGCATTATTGAGACATGAAAAATAAAAGTTGAATTTTGGCAACTATGTGTTGTAGAACAGGAGATAAATGAAATTTTTTATTTATTTTAACTCAGTGTGCATTACACAGATTTAAAGATCTTCTATGTGAAAACTTTACAGTTAGCGTTTCTTATTACCTGTCATATAGAATATATTCAATCATTAATCAAATTCTGATTGCAAAGTGCTGCAGGCAATAGTTTTCATAACTTCCTAAACATCAGGTTATAACTCTGGCAGTCCACATTACAGTTTTTGCAGAGTGTGATTTTGAAGGTGATTTAATTACGATTATCAAGATTACCTAAAATTACATATTTTTATAAATTATGAAACACAGATCAATGACAGTGCCAACACTGCTTGACATTAAACACTGTATATTTTTTCTAGTGAAACATGAAAATGAAGACATTCAGATAATTTTAAAACAGACTTGTTACCATGCATTACGATATTGAATTATGTTAAGCATTTTAATAAGCCTAGCTAAATTATGCTTCTGTTTAAATTTCCAAATAGTGTATCAAACTTTATTTAAAAATTTTAAATACTACATTGTTCTTGAGAATTAAAAAATTAATAAGATTCATTTTTAGTTCATATATATATATACACTCACGTTTGTGAAAATTGCAACACCATGAAGGACTTACGCGAGTGAGCTGAAATTTTCAGGAAATGCAAAGTAGCGCATGATATGCAAATGATTAGAATTGCAAATCCGTAGCGCATGCGTATGCTGAGCAGCGCCCTCTGAGCGGCTGATGGATCCGAATAAATAGACGGCTGTAGCGAGGCGTGTATGGTTATCGGTGGTTATCTGCTAGTGGTAAACGTTAACTCAATCTGTACTTATGCCTCGTCGACGAAAGAGAGCGAGATTTGAACAACTTACAGAGTTTGAACGAGGGAGAATCATCGGCCTTCGTAAAGCTGGATTGTTGTATCGTGCAGTAGCCTCTCGTGTGCAGCGTAACAGCAGCACAGTGATGCGCGTTTGGAAGCAGTGGACGGACGAGTGTCAGACAACTCGGAAATCCGGGAGTGGACCCCGAAATGTGACGTCAGCTCGCGATGATAGACACCTGGTCCGCATGGCGTGGACGGACCGTACAGCTTCCTCTAGACAATTGGCAGCACTGTGTTCAATAGCTACAGGTGTTTCATTGTGTGCTTCATCAATTCGTAGACGTCTGCTGCAGTGTGGACTGCACGCACGGACTCCTTTATACAGGATCGCCCTAACGCACGACCATCGCCGCCTGCGGCTACAATGGGCCAATCAGCATAGAGACTGGCGTGCTGATTGGCAGCATGTGGTGTTTTCTGACGAATCCCGCTTTAATTTGTGGTACCATGATGGCCGCATTCGTGTCAGACGCTATGCCGGTGAACGCCACCTTCCGGAGTGCATTATCGAACGCCACAGTGGACGAACACCCGGAGTTATGGTCTGGGGCGCCATAGCATATCATAGACGATCTCAATTGCTACGAATTGTGGGCAATCTGAACAGCAACCGGTATATCCGTGAAGTTCTACAGCCCGAAGCTGTTCCCTTCCTTCAAAGCTTGCCAGGCGCTGTATTTCAACAGGACAATGCCCGCCCTCATACTGCTCGGATTGTTAAATCCTTCTTTGCAGCGCAGCAGGTACAGCTTCTTCCTTGGCCTGCGGTTCCCCGGATATGTCGCCAATTGAACATGTGTGGGATGTCATTGGTCGGCGTATTGCTCGTGATCCTAGTCCTGTTGCATCTGCAGACGAACTTTGGGTATGCGTACAAACGATATGGAATGCTCTTCCTCAGTCAGACATTCAAACTTTGTTTGACTCCATGCCACGTCGTGTAGCAGCACTTATTGCGGCGCGTGGTGGCCACACAAAATACTGATTCTGATCTCTTGTTCTTGTTTGTTTGCTTTGAACATTTAATCATTTATTTGTACCACTACCACTCAACTGTGTATTAAATTGCATTCAATTATGACGATTCCTTCTTGGTGTTGCAATTTTCACAAACGTGAGTGTATATGGCAGATATAAAATTTTAATCTTAATATAATTTGAAGAAAATGCTGATTAAAACAAAAAATTACAGTGAAACCGTATTTCATTATTTGTTATACATAAACAAATGCAATAGATAAAATGATACAAGCTAAATAAAAATAATAAACTTACCATTAGTGCTTTCAGAAATTTCAAATAATTCTCTCCATACTCCCACAATAGAAGCAATCAAAAAAGGTGCAAATTTATGCTGCCTCTTTAGCAAATCTGCACACAAAACAAGGGGTGCTTTAGTATCATTTATGTGTTTGCACATTTCTGTGTAGACACGACAAATAGAACTCAGACCATAAATATTAAATCTATCCTTTGAAAGCACCAATTCAGGAATAGTTTTCAAAGCAGAAGACACTAATCCATGCAAATGGGGCTTCTTTTTACACTCAATTTCAAACAGGCAGTTCACCATACAATTTTCTACAAAAGGAAGTAAAACATCGACATTACGTTTTGTATTGTAGGCCATCAAAGGATTTCTTCTAGAAGTGAGCAGATGATTTAAAACATGATATAACAGAGTACGGCAGTCTGGTGCATTCCCAGGATTTATCAGTGCATTTTTAAAAGTATGAAGCTCATGCTTAACATGTGTTGCATCAAACTTCAACTTTTCAATGTTCTCCAACACAGCAGTTAATGGATGTTTTTGTTCTTGTACTTCTGTTTTAACTTTAATCTTTCTGTTATTTTTAATGTTAGCCTTTTTCTTATCATTTTTTCCTTTTTTCTTTGCTTTACGAGTAGCTTTTGAAGTTTTGCGTTTTTTATTTTGTTTAGATTCTTTTGGTGAAACAGGTTCTGAATCTTCATTACTATTTTCTATTGCAGTTACAACATTAGTACACTTTTCATCATCAGAATCTTCAGCAATTACTAATGCATCACTATCAGAATTCATATCAGAGTCATTACAAATGGAGCTTGTTTTATTTTTTAAAGTATTATTCAATTTTTTTAAGGTAACATCATTCAGTTTTGTTCGTCCATTACAATTTTTATTTTCAGTATCATTTACAGTCAGTTTAGTGTTAGCCTTGGCCTGAAAAGAACTCACTTCATTATCATTACAAAATGCATCTGAAACAGAAGTATTAATAACTGTATCATCTGTATTGGCCCCATTAGTATTTAGACTTTTTGTATTAACTGCCACTAGTTTCTGCATATTTGTCACACTTACAATGTCCTTCACTTCTTTACTACTACAAAATGTATTTGAAATGTTATTAACTTGCTTAACAACATTACAGATTACATTTTCCACACCATTTTCTACAATCTGCTCTTCTGCACCATTCAGGTGTGCTTCAGATGCACCTGTTCTTTGATGGTCAGGTGAAATTGCAGACAGTGCAGAAACTTTTACTTTGGGAAAATATGAGTTAGTTAACTTGTAATCTGATGCACTGTCATTTTCAGTTAGTTCCATTTTCTCACTTTTATTTAAATTAGAAGCATTTGGCAAAATATCATCACATTTTATTATTTTTAATAATGGAGACCCTAGTTTTTTCCTTCTAAATGCGTTTCCATTAAAATGTGCTACCTTAATAGGAGTATTCTCACCAGAAAATTCATTTATGGTGCCATTCTCAGATTTTTTATGTTTCGCAACTTTATCTTCCCGACATTCTTCAGTATCTGTACTTTCACTAGAAAGTTCATTAAGGTTTCCATTTTCAATTTTTTGACACTCTGCTTCTGACTCTTTATCTTGCTGACATTCTTTAATATTTGCACTTTCATCAAAACTACTATTTTTACAACTAGTTTCAATAAAATTTGTAATTTTATCATTAAAATGTGCAGTTACAGAATGTTCTTTTACTCCTGAAATTGATTCATTTGACACATATTCCTTCGAGTCACAATTTCCATTAACGAGGTTTTCACTTAATGTATGTTCATCATGATTGTGAAAAATACTTATTCTCTGTTCTTCAAACCCATTCTCAATACTTTTCTCACTTGATGCCACATTGCTGGCATCAAACTTTAGTGGGATAGTTGATTTTTGAGCTGTATTATCTTCTGATTCATTTGACACAGTATTAAATTTTTCTACTACTTCTGAAAGAAAGCTAGAAGAATCAAAATGCATTGTGTCATTTTGAAAATTTTCATTTGATGCATCATTTCTAGTCTTGGATAACAAAGATTCCCCATTGTTTTTATTACTGTTTATGCTGGTGACATTGAATATAACATTTTCAACATTTTCACATTTATCAATTTCAGAAATAGATGATTGCTCATCTGACACTAAATGTTCACTTTTATGTTTTAAACCATCACACATATTTTGATGTGCAGTTGCAGACATAGCTTGATTTCCATCAACTAAAACAATTTCTGATTGCACCTCAGAACTAGCATTAGCTTTGGCTACATTACTACAGTTATCATAAGTGACTGCAGGGTACTTTCTGTCCTTTTCCAGCAAAATATTACTCTTTTTATTTCCTGCTCCAAAGTCATTAACATGATGCATTTCTGTACTTGAAGAACTGAATATAAACTCAGTATTCTGTGATTTTTCTTTTAATAATAGTGCTGTTTCATAAACTTGTGTGTCTGTATTCTCTTTTTCACTAGATCCATTGATTACCAAGCTTCCATGCAAACCACTAGATCCATTAGTTTCTGAATTTTCTTGCAAAAATTTTAAACTAGAAACAGATGTTGCTGGAACAAAGATTGCAGGTCTGATTAATTTTTTAGAATCTATCTTTTGTTTCCTACTCTTTTCTTTTTTTGATTTTTTATTTTGACTTGAAAAATTAGGAGATTGCATTTCTGTTTGTAATACTTCATTTTTTGCACTGCTTGTATTTAATACTTTCTTTCTACCTTTTGTGGCATTAATTAAAGTCTGAGTTTCCTGCTTCAAAGGTACTGTACACAATAATGGTTCCTCTTCTTTTACTGCAGTTAAATTTGATTGCTTAAACAAATGTTTTCTAGAACTTGCAGATAACTTTCTTTTCAGTTCAAAAGACTGGCTTGTTTTATTTTCCGTAACTGTTATACTTAGTTCATTACATGCATTCTTATCATCGCACATACCCTCTGACTGCTCAGAATTGTTTTTATAATACTGATGATCATCAAGAGAACTTTCAGGCAGTTTAAAGGGTGGCATCAAAATGGACTTTTTTGTTTTAACATTAATGAGGTTTGTCTGCATTTGTTCATTTGGCAGAATGTTAGTAGCATTAACTAACAGATTATTATCACCAATGCTTTCCTTTTCCCTTGCTTTAATCTGTGAAGCTTTTGTTTTGTGAATTTTCTTAGGTTTACTCAATTTAGTTTTCAGAGGGTCTTTAATTTTAGAACCATTTTTAACTTTAGTAACAGATGGATTACTCTCTTTTGTTTTTTTACTTTTATGCAAATTTTTTTTATGTTTTCTTTTCAAGTGTTTGCTCTCAGAGGATTCTGGGACTTCTGCAAGTAACAGAGGGATCTGATTTTGAATACTAGATGAATTACTTTTTTCCATTTCCTGGTGTAAACCTCTTCTGATCAAATCTTTATCCACAGGGGAATCTGAGTTTTCTGCAGGGAGCATATGATTTTGATTCTGCATTGCAGATACATTAACCTTTCCCATTTTTACATTCTCAGTGGAACCCTTTCTTCTTCTGTGTTTTTTCAACTCCTTGCCCATAAGAGAGTTTTGGGTTTCTGTAGGTGTCAAATGATTTTGAATTTGAATGGATGAATTTATAGGTGAGTCAAATTTCAACTTTCTTTTAATTGGAGATGGACTTTCACATGAACTTGAAACAGCTGAAGTATTGTTTTCCTGCTTTTCACAAGAACTATACTTTTTTGAGTCAGGGAGTTCTTTTTTGACTACAGTACTTTGATGTAATTCAAGAATGTCATTGCTATGATTCATCATGTGTTTCTGATCAACAGGATTATACCACAAACCCACTGAATTACAGGCATTATAATCTACTTGGTCTATATTATTACTTGGTAAAGTATGGTCAGGACTTTCTGTTTTAAATATCCCCATTACTGCATTACTAGTTTCTGTAACATGATTACTATTATGAATAAACATTTCAGTTGAATTTCCAGGTGCTTTTTTTCTGTCATGCACATTTGAAATTTGATCACTCTCAATTCGTTGCCTTTTCCTATCAGATGTTTGAATTACTTCACCTCCTTCCATAACTTCACAGTCAGAACATCTAGTTTGATGATTTGGCATTGATGTCTGAAATGATTGATTTACAGCATGCACTGCATTTGATGGGTTTTCTTCAGAATCATTAAACTTCAGAGTCCAATATACATTCATACTACTAGCATCGACTTCCAGATCAATAGCTTTTGATACATTAAACCCTATTTTTAAATCCCCATTAATAGAGCGCTTACAAGATAAACGGCATAAGCTACTTTCATTTAAATTAGTCTTAGAACTTTCTGAATTAGGGGTTGCAATAGAAAGAGACTGTAAGTATGTATTTGACTGTTCAAGAGATGAATCATTTTGAATATCAAAACCTTCGGATTGTTGATGACAGAAATTATGTCGTTTTGCAGAATTTACAGATGCCTTAGATAAATTTTGGCAGTTACGATATGATGGTGAAAGAACTGAACTATTCCCATTCATTAATGACTGAGATAAATTATGACTGTTATGTGGTAAATCCAAATTATGGGAACTGAGATTTTGTTCCAACTTGCCTAATCTTTTTGAACTTGCATGCTTAGGTGGAGGTGTGGGAGGAAGAGGTGACAGAGGTGCCAAATGTTCAGTCTGCATACAGACCTGCTGTTTCAAACTGTTTAACTCAGAAACTGAAATATCAAGACAATCATCAGAAACATAAGGATCCTCTACAATATTCTTACAACTTTGTAAAAAATAATTCCCAGTGCTTGGTTTCAGTTTTGAAGCAAAAGGTGCTCCTGCAGCAAATTTTACAGGTGTAGAACATTTGGGCTGGATTTCAGATGGAATGTGAGCATCTGAAACGCACTGAAGAACTGTAACAGCAACATTTTTACTCTTTTCTTGAGCAGAATCATTACATGCTCTTCTTACTTCCAGAGATGGACAGATTTCAGAAGCAGAAAGTGTCACTTGATTTGAATCACTATTAGATACATTTGTATGAAGTGTTTCACTTATGCGTGAATGAGGGCTAAAAGCAGAAGGTGCATTTCCTATACCTGAGACATTGTTCTGACCAAATGCATCATCATTAAGCTCTGTTTTCTGAATAAAATCCTGAGTCACTTCAAGTCCATTGTTGTTTTCTGCAAAATATAGAAATAAAATAATAAATGTTATTAGTATTTAAAATGTACATGAAAAACAAAACAAAACATTCTCAAAATAACTGATATAAAGTTTTATTTCTTCCTAAAAAAAGTTCATTAAAAGTTAAAAGGAATCAGATATAAGTTTAAAAAACTCACTTTATATATATACAAAATAACCATAACTAACATTTGTTAAACAGGGTTCATAGCCACATTTTAGTTAAAAAAATAAGCACCTATAAGCACTTTTCAAGCACATTTTAAGGAAAAAATAAGCACCTGTCTAATTACATTATACACAACTGCATAACCTTAAAAGAAAAATTAGATTTGTAATTTAAAATATGAGCAATGTAATATTTATTACGAGAATGAGCATTACCTCAACAATGAAAAACAATTTTTTATTTTTTTTTTTATTTATTTTTTTTTTATGACAGTTCAATTTACAGAATTAGTTTACAATGAGAGAAAAAAGACTATGCAGAACTAAACTACAGGGGTTGGACAAAAATATGGAAACACCTTTAAAAAACATGCTTCTTTGCTTAATATGGTGTAGGAAACCCGTTGGCATCCAAAACAGCTTGCAGTCTTCTTGGAATGGATAAATACAGTTCCTGTATGTTTGCCAAGGAATATTATACCATTCTTCCTGCAAAACGGTGGCAAGTTCAGATAACGATGTTGGCGGTGGATAACGAGAACGAACTTTCCGTTCCAAAGTAGACCACAAAGGTTCGATAATATTCAGGTCTGGTGACTGTGGTGGCCAGGGGAGATGGGACAACTCATCCTTGTGCTCAGAAAACCAGTCCTGGACAATGTGAGCTGTGTGAACAGGGGCTTTGTCGTCTTGGAAGACACCATCACCATCGGGGAACAAAGTTTGTACCATGGGATGAACTTGATCGACCAAAATGTTCACATAAGTCTTGGCAGTCATGTGCCCTGACACAGTTATCATGGGGCTAGCAGAGAACCACAATATGGCTGCCGAAACCATAACAGAACCCCCGCCATGTTTCTCTCTTGGCAACAAGCAGTCTGTACTATAGACTTGAGATGGCGTTCTCCAGACGTAAACTCAGCCAGAAGTGGGAAACAATGTGAAAGAAGACTCATCAGACCATATTACTCGCTTCCACAGCCATATAGTCCAGGCTTTATGACTTAAACACCACCTTTTCCTGTTACGAGCATTAGCATCACTGATGAGTGGCTTCTCAATTGCAGCACGGCCAGCAATTCTCTGTTTATGAAGCTCCCTTCTAATTGTTTTGGTACTCACAGGTTCGGTAACACAACATTCATTTCAGCAGTAACTTTTGCAGCTGTGGTCTTCTTAGTTTTCGTCACAATTGCCCTTAATGATCGTCTGTCACGATCACTCAGGACACACTTTCGTCCGCTCTGTGATTTAGCAGATGATGTTTTTCCGCTTTTCAAATATGTGGAATAAATCTTCGATACAGTACCTCTTGAAACACTAGACACCTCGGCTACCTTGCTTACAGAAGCACCTACCATACGTGCTCCAACAATTTACCCACATTCGAAGTCTGTTAACTCTGACATAATGCAATGACAACCTCACATAACAGTACTCCGACAACAAATGAACTGTTTAGCACATTTACGAAGTTGTATAGGTGGCGTCAGTAGTCAAAAACGCCAGCACCACCTACATATTTCATTAAAATTGTTAAGTTAGAATATAGCGCCACCTATTGGATAGGGAGAGAAACTCTCACTTGGCCATCTGGATTCGGCTAAGCAACATGCCAGAGCATGTATTAGATCTGAATAGTTAATAACTGTAAATAAATTAGTTAGTTCTTTTGCTATACAGTCCACTTATTAGTTTAGAATCATAGTCCATGGTCAGCAGAGCCGGAGAAGTGAACAAAATGCTGGCATTAGATAGAAACAAAACTTCGTTAAAAGCGAAACTAACTAGGTTAGAAAATGTAGTGAAGGAATATGATGATAGTTCGAATAAGAATGAAATTCAAATAAAGTATAGATCGCTACAAAGCATTCAAATGGAATATTAGAAATCTTGAAGGAATTAGATATTTCGAAAGCGTTGATGAAAAAGATGTCACAGATCATCGATGAAGAAATCGCCTGAAATGGAAGAAAGAACGGAAGTTCTAGAGGTAAAGAATTATGGAAATTCTATCCATCTATAGCACATTCTGAAACATGAAAATGACTGTAGTAAATTTGATCCTAAAGTACACATACGTTTGCCAGAATTACCAATTCCTAAATTTTCTGGTAAATATACCGAATGGAATAATTTTAAGATTCAATTCGAAAACATATCATAGCGAATAACACGCAATTAACAGAAAGTTCAGAAACTCTACTATTTAAAGGCTGCATTAATTGAATGAAGCAAAAAATCTTGAAACCTGTTGATGATACTTTTAGATTCTCTATTTAAAGCTCTTCAAGATAGGTATGAAAATAAAAGAATATTAATTGAGACACATATAATGTCAATAATGGATTTTACGTACTTTAACATTCGAAATCGTCTAAAGGAATAAGATATGTAATAGATAATGTTACTAAAAACGTTAGGGCTTTGAATGTTTCAAATATGAGAAAAATAATTTATCGGATATTCTGTTATTAAATATCGTACTTCAGAAACTAGATTTCGAAACGCGCAAACAATTTGAACTAAGCATTAATGCTACGGAAGTTCCTACGTTTGATGAATTAATTTCGTTTTTAGAGAAAAGATGTCAGTTATTGGATAACATTAACCGTAGTATTTAATAAAATGAAATATCCGTTAGAAAAAAAGTTCGAAATCAAAGGCTCTGATGGTTAAAACCAATAGTGTTTTGATTTGTGTTATATGCAAAATAATAATCATCCACTGCATAAATGTGATTGATTCATTTTTGAAATTAAATCCAAATCAAAGATATGAAATAGTTAAAACCCATAAATTGTGTCTAAACTGTCTCAGTAACGGCATTTAATCGCAAAATGCAATTCTAAGTTCAGATGTTCGGAATGCCATAAAAAACACCATTCATTAATACATCCGCCTGCTCAGAAATGGCTCCATTCTAACATAAAGTTAGACAAAACAAAAACAGGAGTGACAAAATTAAATTATAAACGAGTGACGAAATTATAAACAAGAACGCAGATGTCTCTAATAAAAATCAATCAAGTTGTCTTTTGACACGCAGAAAAAACGTCTTATTGGCGACTGCAATAATAATATATGTTTGCAATTCCGAAGGAAAAAGAATCCCAGTTCGCGCAATACTTGATAACGGCAGCATGAGTTGTTTCCTGTGTGAAGGAGTTGCTAATTTGTTAAATTTAAAGACGGAAAGAATTTATGCATCTGTATCCGGAATTAATGAGAACGTTATAAATATTAATTATCAACTAGATGTACAGATTTCGAATAAGGATTTAACATATGTAAGATCAGTTAATTGTTTAGTTATTTCTAAAATAACCAATGTAATTCCATCAAGGTGTTTATATGTGCAGTCATTAAATATTCCCATTGATATTGAATTAGCGGATCCGCAATTTGGAACACCTAACAAAATAGATATGTTACTAGGGGCCGAATTGTTCTTTGAGATTTTAAAAGAAGGAAAATTTCAATTAGAAAATCAACCGTTGATATTTCAAGAAACAGTTTTTGGATATATCGCATCTGGTGCATGCAAGAGTGACTCAGAAGTAAATTATTGTGGTTTAGTTCTAAATAGTGAAGAAAGAGTTGAAGAAATTTTGCAAAGATTTTGGGAAGTTGAATCCATTGAAAATATCGAGGATGCTTTGAGTGAAGAAGAAAAATACTGTGAAGAACATTTCAAGCGTACTCACTATAGACAAAATGATGGAAGATACGTAGTTCAGTTACCCATAAGGGAAGGTATAGAATTAGGAGAATCGAAAACGCTGGCTGAGAAAAGATTGCATCAAGTGTGGAATCGACTAGAAAGTGATTCGAATATGAAAACATTATATAAGAATTTTATTAAAGAATATAAGGATCTAAATCAATTATCTTAGTCATCATGGAGTTTATCAGCCAGAGAAAGCCTCTACCAAGCTTCGCGTTGTGTTTAATGCATCCGCGGCTACTAGCAATGGAAAGTCACTGAACTCAATATTAATGAAAGGGAGAATACCTCAAGAAGATTTATTTTCTATTATTATTAGATTTCGAAAGTACAACTATGCATTAGGAGCTGATGTTCAGAAGATGTACAGACAAATACTTATTGAACCATCTCAACGAAACCTGCAGTTGATCTTGTGGAAGGAATCAGTTGGTAGTCCTGTGCAGACTTACCGTCTAAGGACTGTAACATACGGAACAGCAAGTGCACCATTCCTTGCAACAAGGGTCCTGAAGCAGTTAGCAATGGATGAAGCGACAGACTTTCCTCATGCCTCAAGAAGCCATACTGAAGGACTGTTACGTGGACGACATTATTACTGGAGCTAATACGATGCAAGGAGCCAAGGAGTTGCAGGCACAGTTAACCTGTCTTCTAGAACGTGGTGGAATGCAGTTACACAAATGGTGTTCAAACAATCCAGAACTATTGAAGAATAAAGAAAGTGCTACTCAGGATTACTCCTTTTCAAGTTACGGATAAGCCTCAGATTACAAAAAGCCTTAGGAATGTCATGGAATACGTCTACAGACTGTTTTTCTTACGATCTAAAGGTACCTGACTTTGAAGAAACAGGCACGAAAAGAGATGTCTTATCAACGATAGGTCGCCTGTTTGATCCGTTAGGTTTAATTGGACCTGTTACAACAAAAGCTAAAATATTTCTACAAAAACTTTGGCTTCTAAAATTAAATTGGAATACAACCTCTTCCTAAAAATTACTTTGAAGAATGGAAGGAATTTCTGCATAGTCAAAAATAGTCAACGATTATCGCATCCCTAGATTTGTTTCTAACCAATGGATTACAGCAAATAGAAATTATAGGATTCTGTG